AACACACATGCCATCGGATTGGAAATCCAGACATATAAGAAGGGGCCGCGAAACACATCGCTGTACACAGGTTACAACCTTATACTCCCTTCCGAAACATCTCTTGCCGTATTTGCCAACATTTATCCACAAAAGAAAAGAATAACGTTACCGGCAGCACATGAATGGCACACGCATAAAGCAATCCATAGTCGAGCGAACGCAGTGCCTGCAAGCAAGCAACGGAATGGGCCGTTGCCAATAATGTGGCAAGCAACGGAATGGGCCGTTGCCAATAATGGGGATAGAAAAAATCACATGCTTCTGGTTAATACTGCATGCGTTTCAGAACTGATAGCCCCGCCTATCGCCAGCATGAGATGGGATCAAAAGCTTGAGTCCGTGTGTTTCGTCGAGATTATCGACAAACTTTCTGTGTAAGGGAAAAATACGTGGTAATCGGGTACACTTCTCTGTACAACTGCTCGGTAGGTAACAGAACCTGAAGGTAAATATTTACAGAACGAACGTGTTTCATGTGCCAACTGTCAGCCACAATCGAATACTACATCTCCACTGGATTCTCCACTGAACATGCTCTTTGCGGAGGTGCAAACTTTAGGGCGAATCTACCTACGCCCGGCGCCACTTGACCTTCTCCTTCCTCCCTGCCCTCTGACCTGTTCTCGCCCATACGTGGAATTGCGGCAGTCCATGGAGCGGGCCAGTCCCCAGCCGCGCAAAATTCGCAGCTAGAAGAAGCATCACGAGCTAACAACCAGCTATTGAAGGCTTCAAGGGGAATTTGAGAGGGGCAACTCCAGATGCAGCAGAACCTGACTTGCGGCCTCATATGCTCTACGAGCTAGCCTTTCCAGCAATCGTGCAGACGGAAACTGATGAATGGACGTACCGGCTGGGCGGAGTTCGGCTCTAAACCAACTAGGCCTCTTGACAGGCAGAACCCATACGCTAAAATGTAGACACAAGCCAGACGATTTGATTGCACAGGTAGAAGAAGTACCGTGAGCGTCATTTCCTCCAAATTAGTAGGGTATGCCACGACCTGGTGCTAAGGATGAGGATCAGCGCTGAGCAGCCTCCCTCATTGATTGAATTCATTTTGGGTGCAGAGCTGTGTCAGCATATACGGCACAACAGAGTCTTCGACCACTGATAATGCTTACGCCCATTCAAATGCCCCGCAAGAAAATAATACAAACCTTTGGCAGCTCACTTGTAATGTCTGCGGAGGCAATTTAGCAGTAATTAAGCCTGGTGACATCCATAAACGCCGACAACTGCTGGGAAAAAATAAGGAACACCTTATATGCTTCCAGTGTATCGCCGTGGAGACGGTGAAGCAGCACCCACAGAAAGTTTAAATCTAGAATGCGCGCTTTGGATGGAAAATGGCATATTTCTCCAATATTCACCATACGACAAATCTTAAGTGCCACGAGTTGTACTTGTGCTGGCTGCTCTGCAATGGGATATCTTGGACCTAGGAATCCAGCAGTCCGCTACATTCAGACAAACCCTTTCCATGCTCATATTCTCAATAATACGCTTGTGCTGGTACGCTGGGCGTTATGCTTAGCCCCAAATCAAAGCATCGGCACGTGCCTGAACAACACCACTAGGTTTACAGTTCCTGCCACGCGTCCTCGTAGCTTCCGCGAACGGCATCGAATTGACAATACAAAAGGTTAATGGTTGAATCCGCACAATTCGACTCAATAAAGGCTTGAACCAAAAAGTGCAGCAGGTGGCCCCACACTGCATAGGCACTGCTACGCTTGACTGGCCCATTCGACGCACGCGGGGAATACTTCTACAACTGGTATTCGTACAAAATTACACTTTATAAAGCCGAATATTTGGCGTCCGTGATGCTTCCAGCACAGGTACCTTACTTGTTCGTGCATTGCCCTCTACACAACTTTCACGTTGCTTCGGGTCATCTACAGGTCTGTTGCTGCTGAACACCAAAATTAGAGGATCGATGTCGCTATACGCCATCGCTCAAGATCATGTGTGTACGTTGCTCCACACACGACGAGTTGGAGACAATTCGCAAATGCGGCTGCACCTTGTTCTGTTGCATCCTCATATAGAGTTGTAAAATGTGCAACAGCTCATCGCACTTTGATGCGATCAGTGTGCAACAGCAGTCATGGTATTCAGGGCTTCACAGTGCTGCTTATTCTACCTTCGAAGACTTACGGAGCAGGACGCATTGCTCTCTGCAAGCAGTCGATTGGTCGTTCTCGAATTTCCAGTCGCTGCTTTTTCGGACCTGATTGCTTGGAAACAACGTAAGAGTAGAAATACCATGGAGGCTGTGACACTTAGGACGATGATTGCAGCTAATACCAACCTTGTGCGCCTCCTTCTCAACTCCAACGCAGGGTTACTCGGTGTCACTAGGAAAGCCTCGGTGTGACTGGGCCGGATCACGCTGTCAGCAGCGCTGCCAGCAGCGGATAGGTCAATTTCAGTGTCCTGAAACAGAGGGCCATTACTCGCCGCCGAAGCGAGTTCAACAATTGCAAAAATCAAGGGGAAAGCAGGATTCATTTTGATGTTTAAAATAGCTGTTTTTGAAGTGTGCGTCAAAGTTGCTGATTCACCGAGGCCGCGGTAAATGCCAAGTTATGCCTCCGGGGAGAGCTTCCAGATCCCAGTCGTGCAGATATCCGACGAAACAGAAATGAATGAAAGATGAAGAAAATGAAATAAACAAAGTGCTGAAGTGATGTGACGTGCCGTCGGTTTACAACCAGGACGAGACTCGGGCGGGTGGCAGCCCGGTTTGCAAGACTGTCTTCCCCGCGATGACCTTTGATTCGAAACCGGAGAAGGAAAGGTAAAAAGCGCTAATAATTGTAGTGCATTAAAGTTTATTGAAGTAATACTTCTTATTGATGCGAAAAGGACAGATGCAGCGATGGCAGCGCTCACCGCGATGGCAGTGGACTGCGGCAGACACGTGGTAAGACAGTCTAAAATTTTGCGGAACTGTGCTCACTTCCCCAAATGTGTATCATATTTGCAAGATCACTGAAAATTCAGCTAGATTTTCCTATCATAAACCCACGAATTGAGGTCTGGTTTTGCGGGTTGTGCAATTGTTTAGTGCGGACCAGAAATGTGCCTGGTGGAATTGACATTGACGGCATTGACGCAAGGGTAGAATGTGCTAAAAGTACATCAAAATATTTGATATGCAAATGTGAACCACACGCTTTGGGTTACAATACTGCCTTTTTACTCAAATAGATATATATCCTGCTCTAAAACCTCCTGTGCCCCGTGGACCATGGTTCCCTGAGTTACTCCCTCCAGCGGAGGCAAATAAGCAATTCACAAGGTGAAAAGTCTCGTACAATTGCACACACCATTCGTATTTCCACTCCGTTCTCGGTTCTTTGTCATGTATACCGAAGAACTAGTAGAAAGAATGCCAGTGCACATGGGGCCGGAACCCTAGGAGGGACAACTGGTGCCAAGAACTTGCACGTGCCTGCTTCAAATTTTCATCTCCTCTTCTTAGTATCTTCCGTTGAAACCCTACGGACAAACTTTGTAGGTGTTTTTAAGTTGTTGCTGCTTGATCTCCCGTTGGGGGGTTTATGACATGTAGGTATTCAAGATTGTCCGTGACTTCTGGCAGACACAATTTTAAAGTGGCGCCGAAAAATAACAATGTATCTGTTCCACACCTATGCGCTGTAGGCATAGGTGGTTTAAAAGCCATGTGTTTGTGTGAATCTCCTTCACTATGACTAGGCGATATACCGGCCATGTCTGCATTTATAAGGAAGAAAGAACTAACTGCAGCTGTTGAGGGCCCCCAATGCCGTTGACCACTCAACTCTACTATTCACATGATTTCCTTGATGCTTGTTCGCAACTGGATGTGAAATTGCAAAAATCCTCAATGGATGCTAATGCAACGTATCCATGAGAAGCAAAAAGTGTGAAACGCTTTGAGCCACAGTAGCTTTGCCAGACACCATTTCCATACGACGTCAATTGTGCTCAAAACTTCAAGTGCGCTAGACAGTTGACAACGGGAACTAGGAAGTGCCTGCAGCGTCCTCCCCACCTGAATGATGTTTGAAGTACGCAGTCTGGTGAACATACAAGCAGCAGTGCTCTTTGCTTACTGGCAGGAGTTCTCAGCCTACCTGGACGCCTCAATATTTCGTCTCCAAAGGCAGCCTTTTGCTTGAGTGGTCAACTAGATATACACAGCGGTTACGCTGTCAACGTATCTCCTGCTTAGCTGGAGGTAATCTCTATTAGCTGGGGACGATATGGGGTACAATGAGAAAAAGTGTAAATCTGTTCCATGATCTCCATAGATAGAAGCTGTTAAATGCCAGTTGGGAATCACAACAATAACATGCATTGAAGTCGATAGTTTTGACAGGCGGTGTGCGAAACTGGAAACTGCAATTGTTCTGTATTTCATGCATTGCCCCTACTGGGACCCTATTTTCAATAATTCTTTTTTGCTTCGCCTAAACTATGTATATAGGAACCATCAGGAATACACGAAAAAAAAAAATAAAAGAGGCAAAAGAAGGAAAACAATTAGGGATGTGCATTAAAATAAAGGTAAAAGACACATGCCTATTCGTCTGTAGCTCTCCTGTCGCTAAATTATTTTTGTCTCTTCTTGTTTGAAAGAAAGGCTACGATAAAGGCAAGGAACGACAGAGAAAAGGACCAATAAAGGGTCAATGCATGCAAAGGGAGGCAGAAGAAAACTTGATTAAACACTAAGAAGGCCCAAAAGGGAAACACTTAAAAGGGATACAAAACAAAACGGAGAAAGACAAAAGCAGCAATAAGCTCATAGATCTTGCTGTTATTGCTCCTTTCTCCTATGAAGAGACAAGGGGGGGGGCAGACAGCAGGGTCTTTCTGTCCTTAAAGAAAAGGGGCAAAGAGACACCGAAGAGTCAACAGACTCCCGGGGGACTAAGATATACGCGAAAAAGCCCTCAACTCTAAACCCTAAACCCTAGACCCGCTAGAGAAAGATACAGGTCAAGCAACTGCAACTCTTCCGTCTTCAGGTTGGCATTATGCCCTACAAAAGAAGGCAGCAGATCACCGCACTGGTGCCTGCAGCACAAATCCACCCTAGACAATAAACCCTAAACCCTAGGCCCCAAAGTGCCAGTGACAGGAGAAGAAGGAGGCGCCCATTTAGTTTACAACAAACGCATCATAAGACCAAATTTAGGGTTTAGCGTTTAGGGTTTACTCCTGCTGGGGTAGCCCCCTCCTGTAGCTTGCAGGCTCAGATGAGTTCGTGCTCCCGGCTTCAAAGCAGAAGTAAATCCTGCATTCAGCATGCAAACACCAGACCCTAGTCCCTAAAACCTAAACCGTTATTTCTAAACCCTAGTCAACCGGTGGCAGAGATACTTATGCACCAATACTGCACCAATGCCCCTAAACCCTAAACGTTAGAGCCTGAGCACGAACCCGGCAATGAGTTCGCTAAAGGCCTTGAGCTGCTGCAGATGCTGCAACAACTCCGTTAGACAATATCTCTGACAAGTCCTTAAATGTTTGCATGCTCTATCAAGCCCCAAAGTCTCCTTTGAGCATTCAGTAGAGACAGCAGAACAAACCTGAGGGACACGACCACACAGATACACGCTGCTGCTTCTGCTTCTGCTGCTGCTGCTGCTGCTGCTGCTGCTGTTAGGCGGTTGCTGCTCCTCAGTAACTATGCACCTCGTGCTGCTGCAAAATGGCTTCGATCTGTGTTGCTGTTGCTGCTGCTGCAGCAGACACGCGGTGTTGCAGCAGCAAGGCTGAAAGACACCCAAGGAGCCTGCAAAGCAACAGTAAACAACTCATAGCAACAGCCGCCATGTTGCTGCTGCTGGTGCAGCTGGAGTTGCTGCTGGTTCTATTACTACTGTATCGAGATGGGCATCTACTGCACATTCGTTAAGTGCTGCTTGATGGTTCTGCAATGCACCTCATCCAACAGCGTATGTAAAATCCCAGAGGCTGCTGTTGTAGCTGTTGCTGTTGCTGTTGTTGTTGTTGTTGCTGCTGCTGCGGTTGCTGCTGCTGTTGCTGCTGCTGTTGCTGTTGCTGCAGAAGCATCTGTGGTGTGATACCACCAAATTCAGCACAGAAAGCTCCTAACAGATACACCTCATTGCGAGACCCTCGCTGGCGCCGCTGACTGGCGCTGCTGCTTCTGGTATGCTCGTATTGGGTTGAGGACAGAGGGCGAAGGAGCTGCAAGATCTTCTGCTGTTGCTGAATAAGAGATAGCAGATGCTGCGCTGCTGCTGTTGCAGCAGCAAACCACGCGTCTGGAGACACTCGTTCAAGGGATACGACTCTCTCTACTGCATCAACAAACATCTGCTGCACCCGCTCCTCCTGCTGCCCGTGCTGCATCTGCAGCAGCTGCTGCTGGTGCTGCTCGATTTGCTGCTGTAGCAGCTTGGCCTTAAAGACAGAGAGCAGCAGCAAATCCATTAGAGATTCCTCCCTTAAGAAAGGAATCAGCTGAATCCATACCGATGGCTTTAGCACCTGCAGCTGCGTGTGCTGCTCCTCTTCGCGAAGCAGCGGCTGCTGCTGGACTAGCTGCTGCTGGTGCTGCTGCTGTAGCATTTCTGCTGCTGTTTCTGCTGTTATGGAAGCAACGAATTGGAGGATAGATGCAGTCGGCATACTTCCCCATAGGGAGAGGCTGCAGCAGAAGTCCTTGATGGGTGCTGCCGCTCCTGCTGCAGCTGCTAAAGTGGGAGCTGCTGCCGTTGCAGCAGCAGCAGCAGCAGCTCGCTGCAGCGAAGATCCTAGTAGACAGCCAGCAGCATTCAATACCCCTCCAAGTACCCCGGCAACTTCTACCAGTTCCTTTTGTAAGGGCAGCAACCAACACAGCAGCAACTTTTGTATTTCGGCTCCTGTCAGTGGGCTGCTGCTGCTGCTGCTTCTGCTGCTGCTGGGACACCGGCGGCCGCATAAGGCAACAGCAGTAAGCACCTTCCCCCGCATAGGAGGAGCTGAAGCAATAATTCTACAACGCTCAATAACTCCGCCAACTCTCCTGCTGCTGTCGACGTTGCCATTGCTGCTGCTGCTGCAACTGAAAAGTTCTATATGAGGTTCCTCCGCAGCAAGACTTGAAACTTCTCCCTCCTCTGGAGGCGGGGAGGCCCTCACGAGACTGTAGGCCCTTCGAAACGTTCTGCTGAAAACGTCTAAAGCTTGCTGCTGCTGCTGCTGCTGTTGCTCCCGGTGGTGTGGGGCGTTGAGCTGCATGGCATCTGCTGCTGCTGCTGTTGTTGCTGCTGCTTGAAACGTCTGGCGCAGACACAGCACAGCAAAGGAGAACCAGCAACACCCGCAGCAGATGCACTCCCCCCACTGAGGTGACAATACGCACAGCAGCAAAAGCTGCAGCAAGAACAGCAGCATCAGCAGCAACAGCAACAGCAGCAGCCGGCGCTGCTTGCCTCATGAAGTAGAGGGTAGTCTGTTAGCATATCAAAAGGATGTGTACTTAATGCCCTTTCCTCTGCAGCAGCAGCAAGAAGAAGATATTCCCCAAGAAAACGCCATGCTGCAGCAACGGAGCAAAGGAATTGCTGCAGCAGAGACACACAAGGAAACAATATATATATATATATATATATATATATA